ATCACTTCCCTAGTCCTGCTGGCCACACTATTTTGATGCAAGCCAGGATGCCATTGGCCCTCTTGCCCACCTGGGCACACTGCCGGCTCATATTCAGCTGGCTGTCGATGAACACCCCCAAGTCCTTTTCCACCAGGCAGCTCTCCAGCCACTCTTCCCCAAGCCTGTATGTAGTGTTGCATGGGGTTGTTGTGACCCAAGTGCAGGACCCGGCACTAAGCCCTGTTGAACCTCATACAGTTGGTCTTGGCCCATCGATCCAGACTGTCCAGATCCCTCTGTAGGGCCTTCCTACCCTCAAGCAGATCAACACTCCCGCCCAACTTTGTGTTGTCTGCAAACTTACTGAGGGTGCACTCCATCCCCTCATCCAGATCACTGATAAAGATATTGAACAGGACCAGCCCCAATACTGAGCCCTGGGGAACACCACTTGTGACTGGCCGCCAGCTGGATTTAACTTCATTCACCATACCTCTTTGGGCCCCATCATCCAGCCAGTTTTTAACCAGTGAAGAGCATGCCTGTTCAAACCATGAGCAGCCAGTTTCTCCAGGAGACTGCTGTGGGAAACGGTGTCAAAGGCTTTACTAAAGCCCAGGTAAACAACACCCACAGCCTTTCCCTCATCCACTAAGCGGGTCACCTTGTCATAGAAGGAGATCAGGTTAGTCAAGCTGAAGTATTTCAGCAAACCACTGGAACTTAGTTAACTATTTTGTTAGTGAAATAAGGTATTTTTCAATGAATCATAGCAAATTTGTTAACTCAATCAGCCTTTGTTTTTAAAAAAATGAAACATGCGATTTCCCTCATATGTGGGATAAACATTTTGGGTATACTCATTTTCTCTTCCAGATTTCTGTTGATCTATTTTAATAATATTACCTGAACTCTATCCTGAGTGTCTGGGAAAAAGTGGATAATAATGAACAAAGATCTAGGGCTAATGATCTTTTTCTTAAACCAGCACTCACTGCAAACTGCTGATTTAGGAAAAAAAAAAAAATTCCTGTTAATATTTGCATGAACTGTGATAAACTGGGCATGTCACAGAACTGTGAGATTTCTTTTGGAGAAGCAATAAAGAAGCAGTAAGCTCTTACTAACATTTAGAGTTGACAGCACCATGGTCTTTCATCTGTATGTAGGACAAGAGGGAATTGGTTCATTTTTGCCCATTGCTAATGTTTGGTTTTTACAATGAAGGCAAAACTCTTTATTAACCTCCATGCTTCTATATTTTTTTCAATATATTAAGGCAAATACAATGACACAATTTCAAAATGTGAAGCAGTGATGGAGCAAGAAATAAAATAGTGAGTAAAATCCAGCACTTAATGAAGTTAATTTAATTGCATTTACCTTCATTTAATCATAACATTACTTCCCTGCTGTGGGACCTACATCACCATATACCAGTGCATGCATGCTTACATATACTCTCTCATGCACACTGTTCCTAAAAATCTAAGCTAATCTATTTTGGAAAAAGTATATCTATTTGAAGCCTTTTCACAAGGTAACACAAAATAATCTAAAATTTAAGTGATATATATGTAAACAAAAAAATCCAAAGAATTTGTGAATTTTTTGTAATATTTGTAACTTATAGTTGATGTTCACCTTAATTTCATAATATATCTTAATATTTTTCCTGCATTAGGCCTCAACTTTTAAAATCCCTTTCTGTCCAGCAGTATTAAATCCTGCTAATTACCTGAATGCATGTAATGCCTTGTAATTTTATAATTGATTCTACAGGTGTGACTTTAAAGGTTCCACCACACAGAATCATTAATCTGCCTATGAGGAATTTATTTAAAACTGCTGCTCCTGAAAATTACTTAAACAATAGTAAAAGGAATGAAGCAGCAGAAGTAAACTGTCTTATGTGAATCTTCCATATACACTATAAAGATACCTATAAAACATGGCTAAACCATTTAAAAGAAATGATACATTTGGCAGCAAGAATTGCTAAATATTAATATTAAAAGGTAAACAAAATATTAAGTATTTTAACTGTGTGAGAACTTTAACAGTATGAAAAACTGGGTTACCCGATTTCTACTTGATAAAATATTTGGAAGCATATGAAAATACGTCAGTTTTAACTCCTGTTTTCTCATAGAGGCACCATTACTGAAAGCCTGCTTCCTCTTTCATTCCTTAGTATACCTTTGGTGCTATTCCACAGGGAAAAAACAAGCACACAGAAATAAAAAATATTTACTTAAATGCAGCATAAAGAAAAAAGTCAGAGGAAATGTACCTGTAGCACCTTCCACCTTGTGTTCAGGTCTTCCACACAGCTGAGATTGTACTGGGAGAGTTGAATATCAGAGGGAGTGAACTGGTGAGCAAGATCATTGACTTGATGCACCTTTTCTTTAAGGGGTATAATTTCTGCTCGATAAACCTGTGTGAATGAAATATAAATAAAGATAAGCACTAAATTCAAAAACTATTGGCTCTGCTGCCAGCTGATTAGTAATGTAAAGGTATTCCATGTCTAGCTGAAAGGAAGGAGTATACTGGTCATGATACAGTTAACAGTCTTTTTATACAACTTCATATGGACTTTAGGTCTCAAAGGTAAGGTCCACCATTTCAGAAGGTGATATTAAGTTGGAATATTCATAGCAATTTTTGGCCAGTTTAAGCCAAATCTCTAACCAGCACATCCACTGTGATGTGCACTGCAGAGCATGCTTCTGTCCTGCCTCATCCTTTATGTGCGTGTAGCACGTGTTCCTCGGGGTGGACAGGGGCGATAAGTGCTGTTAAACACATGAAAACAGAGGAAGACTGCTGTTGCCAAATACAACAAATGAAAAAAGAGAAGCAATGATAAAACTATTACAGACCTCACTAAGGCCATGATCTTACCCTGGGTATCTTGTGTGTTACAAATAAAAGGTTAGTAATGGGAAGTAAAAAAAAAAAAAAATCTTTTTGCTATGAATCCCAAACTGGCCTACATGACTCATATTTCAGAAAAAATAAAATAATGTATCTTGTAAGATAACCTTTAAAACTATGCATAAGGGCATTCTAGCTAATAATTTCAGTATTGTATGTGAAAACGAGAAGCTGCTAGTTACAAATTTATTGATTTTAAAAGCAACAACCTCATGATCATGCTTCCATGATGCATCCGAGTAAATTCAGATAAATTCAGGGCACCATGTCTCTATCAAAGAGAGGAATCTCTATGCAGACCTTCTGCTGTTCCATATCTATCTTTTCTAAGGAGACATTTATGCATCTTTAACATGGTAAAATATGTCAAAATGTAACAATGAGCCATTTCTAAGGGACGAATTCTGTCATTTTCAGGAGCATTTTCAGTGCCATATGATGTCTGCACACAAAGGCAGGATAATTTACTTGATATATTAGTCTTGCTTTCTAGCTCCTTTCTCTCAGCATTTTTAATACAGACCACACGTGGTCTGCATCTCACTTTAGATCATCAAATAACCTGAAATTATTGCCTAATAATAATTTCATCAACATGTGATGCCAAAAGGGTCACAAAAAGCCCATCCAATATCTCAGTGAACCTTAAGAGTAAATAGTATGAAGAGATTCATAGACATTAGAATGCCATGAACTGCACTAAAGGTAAACAACGTTGAACAATTGTTTCTCAAATGTTTCTCAAAACCAGACGTGACTTCCACTAATTATGTTAAATTACCCTACAACATAAGGAGTTAGACTGACTTAAGTGGCACTCAGGTACAGTGAATGACTCTAACAATAAATCTGTAAAATACACAATCAGAAGTGATGTGCGCTTCGTAAAGGAAAGTGCAGAGAACGATGCAAGTGCCACAATGTGAGAGAAGAGGCATCCATCAAGTTCATGACATAACAGTTGACTTCTCCTTTTCACCAGTTTTATACCACTGGAACACAAGTGACATTACGGGAGAGAATATGGATTTACAGTGTAGTGTAGAGCAAGGTCTATGACACGAAGAAAAGGAAAAGAGCTCACGTGTTTGGTTTTATCCCACAGAGTTATACATGTACTTACCCTGATCATTTTAGTTAGCAATTGAGTTCAGACAACAAACAACATGCTATAAAAACAGACATTTGTTCTTGTAAGGTAAAGACCTCAAAGGCTGAAGAGATACATATACCATTGAGTGAACACTTCACTTTCAAATAGTTATTTTACTGCTTTTTTTCTGTGATCTGTTAGTTTCAGTGGCCCAAGGTCCTTGGCCGTGATTCTGTGGCTTATACTTGGGATGGTCAACTCTGTTCCCCCAGTGTTGCTTCATTTCCAAGATAAGAGAACACCACTCAGCTAGTGTTACCTATGACCACATTGTATATAAATTACAAATATATATGTGTATATATTGTTATATATTATTATATATAATATATTATAAAATATATAATAAAAATAAATTTTGTATATAATAAATATATCTATTTAAAATAAAAAACACTGATAAAATAAATGCAGATCAATGGATGCAAGGATCAGTTCTCACACTAAAATGTACTTTCATACAGTTCCTGCATTAAACCAAGTTAATTTTCTATTAATTTGTACAGCAATAGGATCAGGCTTTGATTGAAAACTTCACTGCTTACGCAAAGCACACAGGCCTAAGCTTATAAACTACTTGTTTTTAAACATACACTTAAGTATCTATCTGGCTCATTTCAGACCAATTATTTGCATCTACAATGTTGACTTGAAAGCACTGGTCTCACCTGAAGATTGGCATAAATGATTAGACAAATCACACAATCATTATACCTAAATTAAGGTGAAATAGATGATCCTTCATAATTAGTCAACGTGTTTTTTGACTGTAAGTTATTTTGCAGAGTAGGAAGACTAAGGCACAGAAGCAAGTCACAAGAAAAAGAAATAAAATCATAGAAATACATATGGAAGTAAAAACAAAAACTTATCTTCTGCACCCACTTCAACTGATGTCTTTTATTAATTGCTTTTTCTGCTGCAAGGATACTGATTTTTGCAGTCTTATGCTACTTTTCCAACATACAACAGCTTTTTTACCATCTTTAAATTTGATATTCTGTATTCTATTATTACTAAGCCTGAATTTTTACTAGCATTTTTGTTAGTTAGACAAATCAAAACATAAGAAACATCAACAACAAAAAAAGAATGCTAGTCAAGGCACAGCTATCTAATTAATGCCAGTAAGCTTACAATTAAAAACTGTAGACAGAAAAGAAAAAATTATCCATAGAAAGTTTTGGCATATGACATTGTATGATCAAAAAGGTCAGTGACTATAAGGCTGTGTTAAGGAACAGTTTGTCACAGACAACCAGTCCACCAGTCAACGTACATAAGTCTAGAGCTGGGTTTTTGTTTCAGAGTAAGTGAAAATCAGTGAGTTCTTTTTTTTTTTTTTTTTTTCAACAAGTGTTCAAATAAGTTAAATAAATAATAATAATTTATATATCTTCTACAGTACTTGTCATCTGTAGAAGCAGAAATTTAGGATTGCTACTGGATTGTGATTTTCATGAGTGTGATTGAAGTGTTTTACAGAAATATTTAGATTTTTAATAATCAGCTTGTACAGTAAAAGACTGATTCATTTTTCTATTTTTTTTCCTTCTGCATGAAAAATACCATACATATCACAGGTTTATATCAGAAAAAAATTAGAGAACTATATAGTTGGTAATTTAAAAACAAATATACATGGTGAGTAGAGCACCACTACCACACAGAGACCTATTTGAACCAATTAAATTGCTCAGGATGTAAATGACTTCTCAGTGTGAACAGTGATAGGAGAAACAGCCCCAAATTATCTTCATTATAACTGTCCTTACGCAAGAAAGAATTTCAATAGTATGTGATACTGTAGGTGGTAGATTGGATTTTAAATGACCCATACAGTCCTGTTAGAAAATGTTTTAAAATGCCTTGGAAAATGAGCAAGAACTCTAGAAGACACATACCACAGACACCCTAACCAGCCAGATATTAAAATTCTAGAACATACAGTGGCCATAATCAATCGTATGAAAAGCTCATCTCACCCAGTCCCTTGTCTGGTAGTAGCCAATACAATCGCTCAGGGAAGAAGGTAAGGGAAAGCATCACCTTCCCTGCTCCTTGCTGTACTCTTCCAGCTCAGCAATTTGGGTCTCAGAGATTCTGGAACCAGAAGCTGTATTTCTATGTCAATCAGATCTTGATGTATTCGTCTTCCATGAAATTACCTCCTTGATTTTTGAACTCAGATAGGCTTTTACCATCCAAAATACCCTATGGTAAGCTCAATATTTAGATTGAAGAACCATCTCTTTTATGCTTTTTTTAAACCTATCGCTTGAGACCGTCCCCAATTCTTAGCTCATGAGAGACAGTGATCAAGCATTCCTAATGGACTTTGTGCCGTTGTAGATTCTACTAACCCTTCATCATATTTTTTCCTTCTTTCATGTTTAAGATACAAAGACCGAGATATATTCGATTAAATGTGGATATCTATAAGGTATTTACATCTGAGCAAGTCTCCATATGGTCCCTTTATATTCAACAGCTAATCAAAACCAGGAGTTGAACATAACATAAGGTTTTGCTATAGGATGGCATAAATCACATTCTGAATTGCAACAACTGAAATGAGCAGATTTTCATTGACTATATTGGGAGCCTAGGCAACTAGCTCACATGCAGACAGCTACCCAGCAGATGTGAAATTACACAAGACAAACCCCACTCCTACTCCATTTATTCTATCCTTGTATAGGAGCTTTCCATATCTTTTATCAAATCTGCTATAATCTTTTTTAGATTGGGGATCCAAAACACTGCCTACAATATACATGGTATGGGTACAACAGGGACTTACACCATGGCATCATGATATTTTCTGCTTTTTCAGTAATTTCTAGCATTTCATTTGGCTTTCTGAACAGTCCTGAGTATTGATGTGATGTTTTCAGAGGGCTGTCTGTTATGATTCCAAGATCTCTTTCATGAGTGCTAAAGGAATGTTTAAAAGGGCTAAAGGAGAGCTCATTACCGTGCATGTAAAGTTGGGATAGCTTTTTCTACATGCTTTGCTTGAGATTTATCAGCACTCGATTTCATCTGCCATCACTTTGCTGCCAGTCAGTACTGTGAGGTTTTTCTATAGCTGTTTGCAATCTGTCCTCATCTTAAGTACTTTGAATAGGTTTGTATCATCAACAAGATGTTCCACTGCATTATTAATTTTCCTTTCCAGCTCATTTATGTACATGCTGGACAGAGTAGACCTTCTGGAGCACAATCAATCATCTCCCTCGTTGGGAAAACTGACCTCTGCCTTTTGTTTTCCATCTTTTACAGGAAATAACCAGATATTTCGTTATTTATCGACATGAAGACCTTCTCTGTTATCCCACAGG